GTTCCTATTGACGCCACGGTGGGCCAGATGACGGCTCCGACGACCTTGGCGGGGACTTCTCCTACCAAGATCTCTTCGTCGGGAGTGGCTGTGCAGCACACGTCAACGGTTTTTGTGCAGGGCATCCCCTACCACGGCTTGGTCTTGTGCACTACCCCCTGGAGAGCCACGGTAGGGCCCACTACGAGGCTGAAACGCACGGCAATCTTCGAGTTGGACCAGAATACCTTGGCTCTTCCTGAAGATGTCGACGCTATATATATATATATATATATATGGGCGTGGACAAAAGCTTGCCTATGCTTGGTACATCCCATGCTATGACACAGCGCTGGGAGCGCTGGCACGCCCAGGGTCGAAGCGGTCCTCCTCCTTCAGAGCGGAAGTGCCGAACGAGCGAAAGGATCACATCCTACGGAGAGGCCAGTGGCTACCACGCCCAAGCGCCGCGCGAACGAGCCCATCATCTTGTCGAGACTGAAGAAGCTCGCCCGAACTATTGCAGAACAGTTGGAGCGAAGCCCGCCTACGACACGGTTGGAAAAGGGCATCAGCACGACGTCTTCATCGATTTGTGCTTGAGGCACGTTATTGGCAATGGGTGCACAAGTTTTGCCAAGCCTTGGCCGTGCCCATGACCGTGTTTCGGATGATATATCTAAGCTGGAGCGCCGACTGCGCTCTGAGGACAGCTCGACGTGGAAGAAGATCTTTGCCAAGGAGTCAATCGACTCGAAATGGTGGCCTGCGGCAAGTTTCGTCATGCACGATCCCACGGAGTGCCCCGCCTTCGCAGCCAACGACGCGACGAATGAGTGGCGCAATATATGGTGCCCAGAAGGTTGCGACGGTGCTGGTTGTGCCACATCCTGGTTACCACATGCCCAACGTATGCGTCGACCTCTTCCTCAGAGTAAGGCGCCCGCTGCATGGACTCCGGATTGGCCACCGCCCGTGGCAAGGGCAACGCTGGCCACGACGGTTGGACGGCCCGCGAGCTGAAGTTGATGTCCTCGACTTTCGCTTCTGTGATCCAGGACCTCTACGACTCGTGGATTGACACGACGAGGTACCTTGGAGCCAACGGCATGGCAGAGACCGTGGTGGTATCTGAACGTCCCGACGATATCGTGAGTTTACAGAAGTTGTTGTTTTCCTTAAAAATGGTTGGTATACCAAAGAAGTGTGGAGCCTTGCGCCCGATCGGTGTGGCAAGTGTACTCTTGAGAAATTTGCCCACCACATGTGAAGAAACTCTTCTCGCCCCGCAGGCAACGCAGTTCGCCTGTAAAGCGAAGGCGTCGGTGTGTCATGGTGTATGCAACTGGCTACGGGGGCGTGTCCGCTCAGGCGGGCATGGAGCGAGACCTGAGCATGTGCAATGATCAAAATCCCCATGAGGTGGGTATTGCGACCCTTCGTGCTGCTGCAGCTCCTTCGGGTCTTGTGGCTGTGTTGTTCGCAACGTGGTCTGGTCCACGACGTTGCCAGGTGGCTGGAGCCTTATCTGATGAAATGGCTTGGCCATCTCGAAGCTTGGCGCAGGGAGACTCCTGTGCACCTGAAGTGCTCTGCTCGGTGCTCGCGCCGTGGGAGGTGGAGGGCGAGCACTTTCTGTTCATGGACGACCGCTCCCTGGTGTGCCAGAGCGACCATCAGCTGATCGACGACATCGCCAGTTTCGACTCCGAGACCAGCGACGTGGAATGGCATCGCGGAGATTTCCGCCGCATCGGGCACATCGGGGTCGAGGCTGTCCCCGATGACCCCACGGCCCCCGTCACGCCGGCGGGGGGATGGAAGGTCTATGCAGCCATCACAGCACTACGTCAGTTGCCTGGAAGTTCGCGTGCCCGACTTCGAGCAGCTGGTGCATATGTGGTTCCTTGGTGGCCCTGGTGCTGCCCAGTGTTTACCCTGCCACCTGATGATGTGGCCACAAATTAATCAGTTCTACTATTCGGACAAAGTGTTTGTAGTGGTGCCGCGGACGATATTGGTCCCTCCACATCCAATATCACCCTATGTATTCGAATCTACTCGAATGTGTTCATGGAAGCACGCCGCTTGACGGAGTGGGAGTTGGACTACAATCCCTGGGTCGACCACAACCTGCAGACCTTCTCTGAAGCGATCGGGCTTCAGTACCTTCTATGGTGTGGCAGAGTCTTGGTGGACCAGTCAACCTCGGGTGAGCTCGAGTTCTGGGTGGATTACCCTGTATGCCCACCGTGTTGCTGAGCGAAGATCCGAGTATATGGTGATGCAGGTCGGGATGGGCTTGTACTATGTTTCTACTGGACTTGGGATACGGAATGTCCTCCTTCTTGCCGTTCCCGACCCCGTGGCGGCCGCAATCCAAGATCACGCCTGGGCGACGTCGGCCAAGGGGGCGGCGGGTGGCGCGAGTCTACAGGACCGAAAGAAGGTCTGGCTGTGGAAAGAGAAAGCGAAGCGTGAGCAAACCGTTTAAGGACATGGAAGGGAGTTATTACGGGGTCCCGTCAACCGAACACCTTTTGTGCTGTTGTGTTGTTGTTCGTGTTGTCGACCTCGCCCAAACCGCGACCCACCCGCGACCCGCCTGCGACACCGCCGTGAACCATCCACGACCCACTCGCGAGCCACCCATGTTGCTCTGGCGAAAAACATCGGCGACCACGGCGAGCTTCTTCAAATGATATTTCGAGCCTCGCTGATTGCCGACGACCTCCCCCTCACGCATATCCGAAAGAAACAACATGATCGAACCACGAACTGGGAAATGAATGTAGAAATGTAAGGCATGGCTACGTTTCAAAGACACCTGGTTGGGCGACTGGCAACTGCAATGCTGAGTGTATCAATCTTGGCGTACCGTGCCAAAGGCTTTACTGTGCTGCGCAGTGCTGAATTGCGATGTGCCATGCCGAGATTGTGCTCTATAGCCTATAGCGTGGTGGATCGAGCCCCCCTTCGCATCCAGGTCCTTAACTGAACTGATCTCGATCGTAAGCTCGAGCTGCCTGAGCACACAATAGCTGCCCCAGAACGAATTGACATGGGGGACGCACAAGAGGGACGCGCTGCGGAAAATCCTAAGGGACGCGCCACGGGTGGTGCCAGGGGACGAGCCATGGGGACACACCGCAGGACGTGCCAAAGGGACGCGCTACCGTACGTGCCAAAATGAAAGGCTGAATGCATCGATCTCGATGTACCGTGCCGAGGGCTGTGCTGTGCTCTGTGCTGCGCCGTGCTGACTTGCGATGTGCCATGCCGCGATTGTGCTCCATAGCGTTGTGGATCGAGCCCTCCTTTGCATCTGAGTCCTTAACCGAACTGATCTGGATCTTAAGCTCGAGCTGCCTGAGCACATAGTAGCTGTCCCAGAGCTCATTGACAGGGGGGCCTGCCAGGAGGACTCGCCGCGGAACGTCCCAAGGGACGCGCCAGGCGTCGAGGGGACGCGCTACGGAACGTGCCAATGGACGTGCGCGCCGCGGCACGTCCCAAGGGACGCGCCAGTCGGCGTGCCAGGGGACGTGCCATGGGGACGCACCGCAGGACATGCCAAGGGGACGCGCTACGGAACGTGCCAACGGAGGTGCCACGGGACGTGCCAAGGGACGTGCCGCGCGACGTGCCAGGGGGAATCGCCACGGGACATCATCGTGCTAGACATCCGCCAGGGCAACCTGGAAGCGTGAAAACAGGCGTCTCGCTCGAGACATCCTCCACACATCCTCATGCTAGACATCTGCCTGGGCGACCTGGAAGCGTGAAAACAAGCGTCTCGCTCGAGACATCCTCAACAAATCCGCATGCTAGACATCTGCCTGGGCAACCTGGACGCATGAAACCAATCGTCTCGCTCGAGACATCCTCAAGAACTGGGCACGTGAAAACAAGCATTTCACTTGAGAGATCCTCTGAATTCTGGCCCCCAGGAGAGGACAATACGTAACACAAAACAAGCGTTTCGCTCGAGACATCCTCAACCATTTCTGCAAAACAAGCGCTTCTTTCGGGACAATCTCAAAAATCATTTCGCCGGCCCTCTTCAAGTCACAACCGGGGGGTTCACCCACTAAAAGAGAACCCTGGGCCCGCGCCCTTTCCGGGAATAAACATCAACGTTCGACGATCCGCGCGGATGTCTTGGATCTGCGCTGGTTCACCCTCTCCAGGGCGAGGAGCGCGCCAGGGGTGGCGCTAGCGGCGCTGGCGGCGCCGCAACAGGGTCCCAGCGCCGATCCAGCAAAACCGCGCGGAAATCTGAACGTTTATGCAGTTTTTTCTTCGATCTTACCCGCAACTGCGTGGGCCACGGTCAATACCGAAGAGAAATACAAACGCCATAAACATAAACTGTTGGCGCTCCGCTCGGACATCTTGGATCTGCGCTGGACCCCCTCCCTGGCGCGCGGAGCGCTTCAAGGGCGGAGCTGGAGGCGCCGCTAGGGGGGCCCCGGCGCCGATCCAAGAGATCCGCGCGGAGCTCCGACCATTGTGCAGTGCGTTTTGCTTCGACATTGCTCGCAGCTGAGTGGGCCACGGTACATACGGCAGGTTCGTGTCGTGTCGACCCCGGCGTTGGTTTTTGACACCGCAGGGATCGTTCAACCTTGAACGATCGGCCATTTCCGCAACGTCCAATCGTTCAACATCGACCGATTCTGGGCCGCCGCCGGCGTTCAACCTTGAACGCCCGCGCTGGGGTCGCCGCCGGTCGACACGACGCAAACCTACCGTAACTTCCGAATGAGGACGTACGTTGGCAGCATGCCCGTGGGGTGGAAATGAGCAGGGGCGGGCCTGTTCAGAAGGTTCGGAAGTCCCCTGGTCTTCTGAGAAGATTTCTGAGCCTCTCCCGAAGACGCCAACAACTTCTCGGAAGGCGCGAGGGCTTCTGAGAAAACCCGCCGCCCTCTGAGGAGGCCTTCTCCTTCTCACTTCCCCCCCCTCGCTCGCCACCGAGCATGGGCCCTCCTCCCCCACCTGACCGCGCCGAGGGCGGCCTGAGGCCCCGCGGCGTCGACCACCTCCACGGGGTCGGCCTTTGGCTTTGCCCTGCAGCGCCCCCACATGCCAGGCGCGGGCCCCCGCCCTACCTCGGGGGAGGGCGGGAAGGAGGGGGACGGGAACGAGCCGCGGGAGGGGTGGGGGCAGGAGCGGGCGGGGGGCGTCGAGGAGGGGCAGGTGGAGGTGGGGAGGAGGAGCGGCGGGAGCGAGGAGAGAGGAGAGAGAGAGAGAGAGAGGAGAGGAGGTAGAGGAGGAGGACGCGAATAAGAAGAGGGAGGATGAGGGAGCAAGAGAGAGGACGGAGAGCATGCGGAGGAAGAAGATGGCGGCGAGACACATGATCGACCCAAAAACCGGGAAAGGAACCTAGAAATAAATGTAAGGCATGGTAACGCTTGAAGGCACCTGATTGGGCGACGGGCAAATGCAATGATGAATGTTTTGATCTTGATGTACCATGCCGATGATGGTGCTGTGCTGCGCCGTGCTGACTTGCAATGTGCCATGTCGCGGTTGTGATCTATAATGTTGTGGATCGAGTCCTCCTTTGCATCTGAGTCCTTAACCGAACTGATCTGGATCTTAAGCTCGAGCTGCCTGAGCACATAGTAGCTGTCCCAGAGCTCAGGAGGACCTGCCGCGGAACGTCCCAAGGGGCGCGCCAGGCGACGTGCCATGGACACGCACCGCGGGACGTGCCAAGGGGAAGCGCTACGGAACGTGCCAATGGATGTGCCACGGGACGTCCCAGGAGACCCATGTATTGTCATGCTTGCCCCGCCCTGGGGCGTTAGAAATCCACGCGTTGTCATGTATCTCCCGCCCCGGGGCGTTCGGAACCCATGTGTTGTCACGCTTCTCCCGCCCTGGGGCCTTAGGAACCCATGTGTTTTCGGGCCTGCTCCGCCCTGGGGCGTTAGGAACCCATGTGTTTTCACATTTGTTCCGCCCTGGGGCGTTAGGAACCAATATGTTTTTACGCTTATCGGGGGGGGGGGGGAGCGAAACGCGCTCCCCGAACACATAGGTTCCTAGTGGGCTTAGCGAAGACTGATAGGTTTCGAATGGGCTCAAAAGAGAGCATCATGACTCCCCACAGGGTCTGGGCAGATGCCGGACGGATGCCAGGGAAAACCGGGGACTCCCCATTTTCACTGCCAGGAGCCACATGTTGACTGCCCGGAGCCAACAGAATACAACTCCCAGGCCACATTTTGAATGCCCGGAGCCAACTGTAGGCCACTTCGTGTTCTTCGTGCTTCCAGAACACAATTCGCAGGCCACATTTTGAATGCCCAGAGCCAACTGTAGGCCACTTCGTGTTCTTCGTCTTCCCAGAACACCCTTCCCAGGCCACATTTTGAATGCCCGGAGCCAACTGTAGACCACTTCGTGTTCTTCGTGTTCCCAGGACACCATTCCCAGGCTAATTTTGAATGCCCGGAGCCAACTGTAGGCCACTTCGTGTTCCCAGAACACCATTCCTGCACCAGACTTTGATTGCCCGGAACCAACTGTGGGCCACTTCGTGATCTTCGTGTTCCCAGAACACCAGTCCTGTGCCAGATTTTGAATGCCCGAGCTGAGGCAGGCTGAGGCCGAGGCAGGCTCAGGCCGAGACAGGCTGAGGCTGAGGCTGAGGCACGCCGAGACAGTCTGAGGCTGAGGCTGAAGCAGGCTGAGGCCGAGGCAGGCTGAGGCTGAGGCTGACGCAGGCTGAGGCCGAGGCAGGCTGAGGCTGAGGCTGAGGCAAGCCGAGGCAGGCTGAGGCAGGCTGAGACTGAGGTAGGCTGAGGCTGAGGCTGAGGCCGAGGCAGGCTGAGGCTGAGGCTGAGGCAAGCCGAAGCAGGCTGAGGCTAAGGCTGAGGCTGATGCTGAGGCAGGCTGAGGCCGAGACAGGCTGAGGCTGAGACTGAGGCTGAGGCTGAGGATGAGGCCGAGGCAGGCCGAAGCTGAGACAAGGTGAGGCTGAATGGGGGGGGGAAGGGGGGGGGGAGGGGAGGCTGAGGCAGGCTGAGGCCGAGGCAGGCTGAGGCCGAGGCAGGCTGAGGCTGAGGCTGAGGCAAGCCGAGGCTGAGGCAGGCTGAGGCTGAGGCTGAGGCTGAGGCTGAGGCTGAGGCTGAGGCTGAGGCTGAGGCTGAGGCTGAGGCGCAGGCTGAGGCTGACGAGGCAGGCTGAGGCTGAGGCTGAGGCAGGCTGAGGCTGAGGCAGGCTGAGGCTGAGGCTGAGGCTGAGGCTGAGGCAAGCCGAGGCAGGCTGAGGCTGAGGCTGAAACTGAGGCAGGTTGATGCATCCGTAGGAATCCATAGGAATCCTTAGGAATCCCTAGGAATCCTTAGGAATCCGTAGGCATCCTTAGGAATCCGTAGGCATAGTTAAGCATCCTCAGGAATCCTTAGGAATCCTTAGGATTGCATTGGGTCCTAAGGCCGTTGCCACTGCGACTGTCATTGCGAATGCGACTGCGACTGCGACTGCGACTGCGAGAACTGCAGAATTCTACAACTGGATTTTCACCTGAATATTGAGGGGAATGCTTCCAAATATGCTTATACACATCGCTGTTAGGTTGCTTTGCCGGGATACTTACGCTTATCGGGGGGGGGGAACCGAAACGCGCTCCCCGAACACATACCCAATACAGACACATTCATCCAGGGGCCTCCTGGGGCCTCCTGGGGGCGGGGGGGGGTGGCGAAAAGCGCCCCCCGAGCATATATCCAAATACAAAACAATGCCTCCTGGGGCCTCGTGAGGCCTCCTGGAGTCTCACGCTTGTCCCGCCCTGGGGCCTTAGGAACCCATGTGTTTTCACGCTTCTCCCGCCCTGGGGCATTGAGAACCCATGTGTGTTTACATTGGTCTCGCCCTGGGGCGTTAGGAACCGTGTGTTTTCACGCTTCTCGAGCCTCATGGGACCTCCTGGGGGGTGGGGGTAAGCGACAAGCGCTCCCCGAGTGTGTGTGTATATATGTATATGCATACATACATACATACATGCATACACACACACATACATATATATAAATACCAAAACAGAGCATACGTAAAACAATCATTTCATCTGAGACATCCTCTGAATTCTGGTCCCCAAGGGAGTAGCAATATATAACACAAAAAACGTTTCGCAGAAGACATCAACACATTCTGAACATGATGGACCCACGAACCCGGAAAGGGATAAAGAACCGCATGCATGGAAACGTTTTCACGACACCGTATTGGGAGACGGGCACTTCCACGAGACACCCCGCGAAACATTCCACGAGACACGGGCGACGGTTTTCAACGTTTTCCTGGAAACATTCCACGAGACACCCCGCGAAACAGTCCACGAGACACCCCACGAAACATTCCACGATGACAGGCAACCACTCAACCAAGGCGGTGTGGTCGTGCTGGGGAGTGGTCGTGCTGGGGTGTGGTCGTGCTGGGGGGTGGTCGTGCTGGGGGGTGGTCGTGCTGGGGGGGTAGTCGTGCTGGGGGGTGGTCGTGCTGGGGCGTGGTCGTGCTGGGGGTCATGCTGGGGCGTGGTCGTGCTGGGGTGTGGTCGTGCTGTGGTGAGGTCGTGCTGGGGTGTGGTCGTGCTGGGTGATGGTCTTGCTGGGGTGGGGTCGTGCTGGGGTGGGGTAATGCTGTGGTGTGGTCGTGCTGGGGTTTGGTCGTGCTGGGGTGGGGTCGTGCTGGGGTGGGGTCGTGCTGGGGTGTGGTCGTGCTGGGGTGTGGTCAGCAGGCGACCACATCAGCGACGCTCCACAAATCTCTGGGGCGCCCAGATCCCTCAAGTTCTACAAAACAAGCGATTCGCTCGAGACATCCTCGGTAACTCTGCGGAGCAAGCGTTTCGCTCGAGACATCCTCAACACACGAAAGAGTGGCCCGCACCTTGTGATTTATCGATCGGGATTTCAAAAACAAGCGTTTCGCCGGAGACATCCTCAAATTTTAATCCGCCGGCCCACCTCGACCTCGATATTTATCAAGGAAAGAATCCGCCGGCCCACCTTAGTTGAGGCACGAGGGACAAGTTTACATACTAAAAGAGAACCCTGGGCCTACGCCCTTTCCAGGAACAAGCGTTTCGTTCGAGACACCCTCGAAACTAATTCCGCTGGCCTCCTTCAAACTCGTCAACTACCGCAGAAAAATTCCGCTGGCCCCCTTCAAGTCGAAACCGGGGGGTTAACCCACTAAAAGAGAACCCTGGGCCCACGCCCTTCCCGGGAAAAAGAGAACCCTGGGCCCACGCCCTTTCCGGGAAAAGAAAACCCTGGGCCCATGCCCTTTCCGGGAAAAACAAATTGAAAATCAATGATTTGGGCCTCTCGGGGCTCTCTTGGAGGTCCTCTCGGAGGGCTCTCGGGGCCTCTTAGGGGCCTCTTGGGCAATCATCTGTCTGGGCAACCTGGAGGCGTGAAACGAGACATCCTCAAGACCCGGCCACGTGAAACCAAGCATTTCGCTTGAGAGATCCTCTAAAGTCTGGTCCCCAGGAGAGGACAATCTAGAACACAAAACAAACGTTTCGCTCGAGACATCCTCAACAGATTCTGAAAAACAAGCGCTTCGCTAAGGACATCCTGAAAATTTAATTCGCCGGCCCTCTTCCCACTCGTTATTTATCGCAAAAAGAAATCCGCCGGCCCTCTTCCCGTCAAAACCGGGGGGAAACCTCTAAAAGAGAACCCTGGGCCTGAAGCCCTTTCCGGGAAAAAACTGTCGTGCCCTGGGCTTATGGGATATCCTACGTTCTTAGTACGCACTGCGCAAATCTGTCGTGGCGTGCGTGCGTTTGCGCGTGCGCGTGCGTGCGTGGAATATGTGCATGTGTGTCCGCGCGTGGTGGTCTGCGGCACTGCTGTGTTATGCTGTGCTGCCCTGCCGTGCTCCTGCGGTGTGCGTGAACGTATGTTGATAGCATCTCTGTGTGCGTGTATGTGTCTGTGTGTGCATGTGCGTGCGCATGTGCGTGTGCTTATGTGCGTGTGCCTATGTGCGTGTGCCTGTGGGTGCGACTGTGTGAATACATGTTCTATGTGTTCTGCCGTGCTCCCGCGTGATCTGCCGTGCTCCTGTGTGTTATGCCGTGATCCTGTGCATTATGCCATGGTCCTGCTCCGCCATGCTCCTATGTGTTCTGCCGTGCTCCTGTGTGTTCTGCCATGCTCCTGTGTGTTCTGCCATGCTGCTGGCTGTTTTGCCGTGCTCCTGTGTGCTGTGTGATCGGCCGCGCTCCTGTGTGCTCTGCCATGCTCCCGTGTGTTCCGCCGTGCTCCTATGTACTCTCTGTGTGTTCGGCCGTGCTCGAGATCCTGCATGCTTAAAATTAAAGTTAAAGGCGGGGCCTCCAAGGCAAAGGGGGGGAACACGGACGCGGCCAGACGGGACCCGCGTTCCCGAGAGACGCCGCGCCCCAAAGGCACCGAGGGCGGCGGAAGCCTGCTCCCAAATGGAGCAGCTGGCGCAAGCCACAGCGATGCAACCCTTCACGCACCCTGCGGCTCACCTGGGCGTCGCCTGCAGGGCCGGCCGCGGCGGCGGGGCCCTCCTCGCTGCCCCCGCACGCCCCGAGTCGCCCTGCTCTCGCTGCGGCTGGGCGCCGCAGGGGCAGGCTGGCAGCGGCCGCAGTGGCTGCCGCATCCTCTGGGGCTCCACCTGGGCCCGCGGCCACTTGCGGCTCTGCTGCAGCCGCTGGGGCGTTGCCAGCACTGCTCGCAGTGGCCGCGGAGTCTGCTGCTGGCTCCGCTGCAACGCCAAGCCACTCCAGGCACCGCTCCTGCGCATGCTCAGGCACTGGGCCCTGCGAGCGCAGCGCTGGGATGCCCTCTCCTTTCGCTCTGTGCCTGGCAGTTCGTGACCCCTCCTGCCTCCTGGCTCCTGGATGGAATCCTCGCTGCCACAGGCTGCGCTGGTCCCTGCCGCCCTCGTCGGTCTTGTCGCCTGGGCAGCGCTCCTTGAGGCGAGGTTTAACCCCTGAGCGGCCGCCCAGCGTCATGTAGGCGCCGCACTTGGAGCATGCCGCGAGCTCCTGGGCGCCCTCCCCTTCCCCAGCGCAGGCGTAGGACAGGGCATGTCCCAGGATGCTGAAGGCGACTGCGCTGGCCGAGAGGGCAGCCGAGCTGCTGCCTGTAGAGCGGGCACTCTCCAAGCGTGGCCGCCTGGCCATCGGCTCCTCGCCCGTGGCCTCCCCCGCTGCCTGGGGCTCCTCGGCGTCAGCGGCATGCACCTGGTGCCGCTCAGCAGCAGGAGGGAGCTCTTCGCGGTCCCTGGCCTCGACGCCATGCCCCAAGATGGCAGCCCTCCAGATCCCGCGCCCGAGCTCCCGCGCGACCTCCGTCCGCGCATGGCGCTCGCCAGCCGCCTGCCTGCTGTCCACTGCGTGCATCTGGGCGCCCATCTCGGCGAGGCGGTCGGCGCGCTCGGTGCCGCGCCTCTGGGCCTCCGCCAGGCGCCCGTCGAGCACTGCCTGCGCTGCAGGCCCCGCAAAGGTGGCGAGCCTCCAGGTAGCAAAGTCCTCGCCGCCCTTGGCCGTCTGCTGCGGGCCGCTGCGCCGGACGGTGCCGTAGACCCTTGTCCCCAGATTGCCGTAGTCGTCGCGCTGCGCCATGGCCCAGCTCTCCCAGCGCACGGCGCAGAACTGCGGCTCGAGCGCCGAGCCATCGAGGCACAGCTTGCCGTTGAGCTTCTCCTCAGCTGGCTTGCAAGCCCACTGCGCCCACATGACGTCGGTGTGGCGACGTTGCGGTGGCTCTGGTGCGGGCAGCCAGCAGCGGCCGAATTCGTCGCCTGCGAACTCGCACTGCACACTGCTTCAGCCGCGCCGACACTCTGTCGCGCCGCTGGGCCAAGCACCCCGAAGAGCCTGGCCTGCTTCCAGTGCGCGATGGAGATGAAGGCCTCGAGGCCGTTCTGCCCCCACACTCTGGGCCCGCAGTCTGGCCCGAGCTGGCGTCCAATGGCGCCCCAGTGCATAGGCCGCTGCAGGCGGGTGTCGTGGCTGAGCTGCGGCGTCTCGCGACGAACGGATGCACTCCAAGCACCAAGGTGTATGAGGTCGAGCACATCACCAAGGCTCGTGACCATGCACCGCTCGGACTGAAAGATCCAGCCGATCCGCGCACGGGTCGGCACCGCCGCCTCGAAGGAGGAGGCGCAGTGCTCCCAAGGCGTGCCGGCACTAGCGTGCCTGGTTGCCGCCGCCTCCAGCCCCCACTCCTGCATCCCGTGCGGCAGCTCGCCAGTCTCCAGCTGGCCCCCCAGCATCTGGACTGCGTGGCCTGCCGCAAGGGCGGCAGGGTCCAGGCCACTCCTCCTCCTGAGCTCGGCCCTGCGCGCGCGCAGCTCTCGCTCCGCGCCCATGGGGGGCGCTCTAGCGCTGCGGCAGGCTGCAAGCCTCCAACAGTGTACATTGCCGTCCGCGTTGCCCGTGCCCGCGCGAGCGCACGCCATGCTGGTCGCGGGCCAAGCCTTGCGGATCGGACCCAGCCTGCGCGCTCGGCGAGGTGCTCCTGCAGCTCGGACTCGGCCCTCATGCACTCCTCCCCTCGCGCTGGCGGCGACCGTGGCGAGTTTCCGGGACTGCGAGGCCTTGCGGAAGGTCCAGCCTTGCGGCCCCCAGTGCACTCCGAGCTGGCGCCCAGGGCTGGGGCTCGAAGCGAGGAAGGCCGTCTCGGCCGCGCCGCTGGGAAGGCGCTGGACACGGAGGCGGCGAGCCGCTTCCAGCCCAGCGCTGCCGAGCTGCGCGGCCACCAGCTGCTCCGCGCCCACGGCCTGCAGCGCGAAGTCGCCGACGACGCTGCGAGCGACACCTGGTGGCCAGGCGCCCGCTGGGGCGGCGCGGAGGGCTGCCAGCGCAGGCAGCTCGGCCACAGTGGCGGCGCACGCACGCCCCGCCATAACTGACACGTTGGCACTGAGAGACTCGGCGGCCAGGCCCACGACTGCGATGAACCGCGGCTGCTGAAGGAGCACCGTGTCGCCGAAGGTGGCGAGGATGTCGAGGTTGGAGCCTTTGGGTCCCAAGGCCCCCTGGAGGCACAGCGAGCACGCCTGCAGCTGCGGCCCTGACGTAGTGGACGCTGCGACTCCTACCGATCAAAACCTCGAGGCCGCTGCGCAAGCTGAGCTCGCCAGCGGGCCCTCCTTGTCCGTGGGCGCAGACGCGTGGAGCCAGGCAGGCTTCCCTGGCTACCTCCAGGCGGTGCGGAGCCAGGCAGGCTTCCTGGGGCATCACAGGGTGCGGCGGGGCCCTGTTGCGAGAGTCCAAGGCCGCGATCACCTCCAGGATCCTCCCCCAGCCGTTGCCGTTGAACCCGAGCTCCTCCAGCCCGCAGCGAACATCCTGAGCCGCCGTCACAACTTGGCCTGGCGCTGGGGAGACCTGCGCACTCCCGAGGCTGAGGGGCCGCATGCCGCCGATGAGGCAGCGTCGGAGCTGCCGCCCTCCTGCTGCCTAGGCTGAGCGCCACTGGCGTGGCTGCACGCACTACTGCCGTGGCCTCTCGCCTCCGCCGCGACTCCCAGCGGCGCGGCCAGCAGGGCGAGCAGCAAGGGGGGCCGGGTCCTCAGCCTCGGCTGCCAGCTCCCGCTTGCGCGCCTGGGCGACCTTCGGCCACTCGCCGCGGGCGTCGCCGCGACGTTCGGCCTGGCCACGCTCCGCGGCGCACTGCGGCTGCCAAGGCCTGCAGCCTCCTGCGCGGTCGCCGCCCTCGCTGCTGATCTCGTCCACGGGGCGCGACTCTGCCCAGGGCTCTCTCTTGGGGGCGGCAGGGGCTTCGGCGAGCTGCGCACGCACAGCCTCCACCTGGGAGCGAATGGCCGCCCACGCCACCTCGTAGTTGCTGGAGCCCCACGCCTCGGGCAGCTTGCCCAGCTGCATGAGGGGCCCTGGGACCTGGCTGGCCCCTGCCCACTCGGCTGCGCGCTGGCGCAGCTGCGCAGCGGACTCCACTCGGGCCTCATCTTCGAGGACGTGGAGCGCACGGCTGGCCTCCTCCACCTCCGCGTCAAGCTGCGCCGGCTCCTCCTGGGCCTTCTGCAGCTGGGCCTCGGCGATGCCACGTGCTGCTTGCTTCTGCTCCAAGCTCTAGCGCGCTGTTCGGAGGCGCTTCTCCGCCTTGCCGATGACGTTCGCCTCCTTGTGGAGCATCGCCGACAGCGGCATGGAGGACGCCTTCTGCTCCGCTGCCGCGCGCTGGGCCTCAGCCAGCTCTGCGCGCTTGGCCTCCAACTGGCTGGCGACGACGTCGGCGAAGCAGCAATCGACTCCGTCGGGCGGCCGTGCCTGCAGCGCCTCCAGCTGCTCGGCCGCCACTTGCAGCCTCTCGATCGCCGTGGCGCCGCTGCCGCTGGGCGTCCCACTGGCGCCCGACGCCGAGGTCTGCGACTGGGAAGTTGCCGCACTCGTTGCCCAGCGCCCGCGCGGCTGGTCCACCCAGCCGTCCTTGTCAGCCTGGGGCTTGGCCTTGGCTGCTGCCTCCAGCGCCCATGGCGGAGCTGTGTACCCACAGCCAAAGCACGTGGCGCGCCAGTCCCAGTTCGACCCACCGCAGCTCCACATCCAATACGTTTTGCTGCGCCTGCTGCCGCTGCCGCCACCCCGCGAGGAGCGCGCCATGGCACAAACCGCGCTGGCTGGCAGGTCGCGCCTCCGCGCCGCGAAAGTAGGGAGCACAACAAAGAGGTGCACTGGACCAAAGCGAGGAGACCCTCGCGCTCGGAACGCCGCGGACGACTTGCGGTCGTCGGGTGCTCCATGGCCTTGAGCCAAAGTGGCTACGGAAGGATCCCGCATGCTCTGCCATGCTCCCACGTGTTCTGCCGTGCTCCTGCATGTTCTACTGTCAACTCTACCGTGTACCTACGTGCTTCGCTGTGCTCCTATGTATACTGCCGTGATCGTGTGTGTTATGCCGCGTTCCTGCTTGTCCTGCCGTGCGCATACGTGCGTTGTGCGTTCTGCCGTGCTCATGCTTGTTCTTGCGTGCTCAACCGAACTCCTCCTGTTCCTGTGTTCTGCCGTGCTCCTGTGTGTTCTGCCGTGCTCCTGCTTGTTCTGCCGTGCCTTGCCGTGCTCCTCCTGCTCCTGTGTTCTGCCGTGCTCCTGTCTGTTCTGCAGTGTTCCTGTATGGTCTGACACGTTCCTGTACGTTTTGGCCTCTGTGTGTTCTGCTCTATGGTCTCAACTCAGCCTTTTCAGCATCTCATGTGTTCGAGGATGTCTCAGACAATATCCCCATTCCCACTCCCATGCGTTCGTTAAATTCGCGGTTTTCATTGTCTGATGGATGTCTCAGGCGAAATGCTTGTTGTTGTGCAAGTCGGTGTTACGAACGACTCATTGTGGTGAGGAATTCTCGACCGAAATGCTGAAATGTGAGGAAGCTCGAGGGCGCTCTGGGGGTCATATTGGGCCTCGCGCGGGGTTCGTGTGGGGCTGCCTCGACGCCCTCAAAAACATGCCAATGCGATGTCACACACATATATTTTGTGTGTGAGGATGTCCCGAACGAAATCGTCATTTTAAAAAGGCTGCCTTGGGCAGCCTGGAAGCCTTTTCAACAACGGTTCCAAGACGAGGTTATAACAGCAGTTGTCAACACCACGCTGTTGTGTGATTTTGATGTGCTTGAAAATGTTCCCAGCGAGCTCGTCATTTTCGGCAGCCTCCCATGCGCTCTGAAAACCATCTGGAGGTCGTCGTTGGCCTACCAAGTCTTCCACTTGAGGCATTTCAAGCATGATGACAAAACGATGTTGAAAACATTTCACTTGTTCGAGGATGTCCCCAGCGAGCTGCAAATGCTCTGCCGTGTTCGTATTTTTCTGGTCCACCTTGTTGCCGAGCATTACCTGACGATGTCCCGCGGGAAGACGCCGTTTTCAACCCAAGCGGCAGTAGAACACCTCCGGATACATGTCATGTGTGTGAGGATGTCTTGGGCGACACGCATATTTATACAAATGATGAATGAATTGTTGACGCTTCGCGTATCCCCACCAGCCCATCCAGAAACGATGCTCAGGGGAGTTCAGGTGATCAGGGAAGTCGGGGAGCATGCAGAATAACAAAGGGCGGGGGAAGCTGTCACAGACCCCGAGAGGGGGAGGATGGAAGAGGAGTCGTCGTCGTCGTCGTCGTCGTCGAGGAGGAGGAGGAGGAGGAGAAGAGGAGGAGGAGGAGGAGGAGGAGGAGGACGGAGAAGGAGGAAGAATCGGAGGAGGAGGAGGAGGAGGGGAAGGAGCTTCTTGGGGGTCTTTTGAGGGCCTCTTGGAGGGCTTTTTGGGCGCCTTGGGGCATCTTGGGCGCCTCTTGGGACCCTCTTGAGGCGCTCTGGGGAGCCTTCGGGGCGCTTTTGGGGCCATCTTGGAGGGAGTCGATCAAACAAGAGGGGGGGTTTAATTAGCGTCCCCCCTCGGAAGCCCCTAAAATCGCCTCTTGGACCCCTCTTGGAACGCTCTTGGAGTGCTCTTGGGCGCTCTTGGGGCCGTCTTGGGGCTCTTTTGGGGCTCTCTTGGGGCCCTCTTGGGCCATCTTGGAGCCATCTCCAGGCCTCGGATGGCCATCGGAAGCGAAAAGGCGAGAAAGCAAAAATCATTGATTTTCCTTAGGTTTTGGGACGATTTTGGCCTCTTCGGGGCCTCCTTGGGGAGCTGTTTGGCCACTTGGAGTTATCTTGGGGCCGTCTTTGGGCTTCTTGGAACCATCTTAGGAGCCATCGTGAGCGATCTTGCGCTATCTTGAGCCATCTTGGAGCTCATCTTGGGTTCTCTGAGGCGCTCTTGGAGCCGTCTTGGGCCATCTTGGACGCTCTAACTACCCGCGGCCCCCCCCGTCCAGGTCCAGGGGAGGGGGTAGGGGGAGGGGTAAACCCCTCCCCAAGGGGGAAGAGGGAGGGGTGGAAGAGGATCTGCTCTAGACCACCTACGCCCAGAGGGCTGGTGGGATTTCGCGGCGATCGGTTGTTCGAAGATGTCTCGAGCGAAGCGCTCGCTCTTGTTAAATGCGATGTCGCGAAAGTCGCATGTGTGTGTGAGAATGTCTCGAGCGAGATCGTTTTTGTTCGGGAAATCCGTCAAGCACAAATGCCGTGCGGCGCGCCACCCCGTATTAGAAAAAACTCTATGACACCTGATGCTGATTCAGCTAACACGTCCAACTCGCTTCGAGTACCTCGAAAACGCTTCCCGTCATCCGCCAATGGATTGGCCCCAATAGTGGTCAGCCAGTTCTCTCTCACGAATTTATTATTTAATCATACCTTATCCAATAATGCTAAGAATCTCCCATCAACTTCTCGTTCCGAGACGGCGTTCCCCGTTATCCGCCAAGCGATTGGCCCCGTCGATGGTCAGCCAGTTCTCCCTCGCGAGTTTTTGCTTAATCCCACCAGCCCTCTGGGCGTAGGTGGTCTAGAACAGATCCTCTTCCACCCCTCCCTCTTCCCCCTTGGGGAGGGGTTTACCCCTCCCCCTACCCCCTCCCCTGGACCTGGACGGGGGGGGCCGCGGGTAGTTAGAGCGTCCCAGATGGCCCAAGACGGCTCCAAGAGCGCCTCAGAGAACCCAAGATGAGCTCCAAGATGGCTCAAGATAGCGCAAGATCGCTCGAGATGGCTCCTAAGATGGTTCCAAGAAGCCCAAAGACGGCCCCAAGATAACTCCAAGTGGCCAAACAGCTCCCCAAGGAGGCCCCGAAGAGGCCAAAATCGTCCCAAAACCTAAGGAAAATCAATGATTTTTGCTTTCTCGCCTTTTCGCTTCCGATGGCCATCCGAGGCCTGGAGATGGTTCCAAGATGGCCCAAGAGGGCCCCAAGAGAGCCCCAAAAGAGCCCCAAGACGGCCCCAAGAGCGCCCAAGAGCACTCCAAGAGCGTTCCAAGAGGGGTCCAAGAGGCGATTTTAGGGGCTTCCGAGGGGGGGCGCTAATTAAACCCCCCCTCTTGTTTGATCGATCTCCTCCAAGATGGCCCCAAGAAGCGCCCAGGAAGCCCCAAGAGGTCCCAAGATGGCCCCAAAATGGCCCCAAGAGGCCCCCAAGAGGCCCCCCGGAGGCCCCCAAGAGACCCCCAAGAGGCCCCAAGAGCCCCCCCAGATGCACCCAAGATGCTCCAAGAGGCCTCGGCGAGAATGCCTAATCATTGATTCTACACAGGTTTTAGCCACATGGAGGCCTCTTGGGGGGGGGCACGGATTAAGATGACTCCAAGAGCGTCTGGGAGAGCCCAAAATGACCTCCAAGATGGCTCAAGATATCCCAAGATGTCTCATAATGGCTTCCTCTGTGTGCTGCCCACTTCTCTGATCGAGGCAATTCCTCTGGGCATCGTTTCTGGATGGGCTGGTGGGGATTCGCGAAGCGACAACAATTCTCAAAGTGCGGGGGCCGAACGGTCATTCATTGTCCCTGGGTGCGTGGCTGAAGTAAGAACATGTGGTGAAGATTCTGTCTGTTGCGTTGTTGTTGTTGTTGTTGTTGTTGTTGAATGTTAACTACGGAACAATTATTATTGTTGGACCCCTTACAACCGCCTTGGCGCTCTCGCCGGGGCGCCGGCTGCATTTTCATTGAAAATGACGATTGCTCTCAAGCGGTTTGGGGGACCGCAAAAACCGGCCCCCCAACAACAACAACAACGCTCCCGTTGACTTCCTTATCTATTACTCAAGGCCGGCGCGCTTGCTCGCACCCGAAAGCAGCCGTTTCAACAAAACCAGCGCCCCCGCTCGAGACGTCCTCCCGTTTTACCTTGGACAGGCGCGCTACTCTTTCTCTCATCGGCGCCGCCCCCCAGCAACAACAACGCTCCCGCTCGAGAGTTCTTCCTTCTTTTACTCGAGGCGGTGCTCGTGCTCGCCGCCGACAGCGCCCGTCTCGAAAAAAACAGCGCTCCCGCCCGAGACTCCCTCCCATTTTGCGCAGAGCTGGCGCCCTTTTCTCCTCCCCCTCCTCCTCCTCCTCCTCCTCCTCCTCCTCCTCCTCCTCCTCCTCCTCCTCCTCCTTCTCCTCCTCCTCCTCCTCCTCCTCGCCCTCGTCGTCCCCTTCCTCCCCCGCCACCTCCTCCTCCACCTTCGCTTCCTCCTCCTCCTCCTCCTCCTCCTCCTCCTCCTCCTCCTCCTCCTCCTCCTCCTCCCTCTTCCCCCGTCCCTCCCATTCCCCCCTCTTTCTTCCTCCACCCCTTCCTCTTCTGTTTCTCCCTCCCTCCTCCCCCCCCTTTTCCTCAGTCTCCTCCTCCCCCTTTCTCCTCCTCCCCAGTCTCCTCCTCCCTCTTCCCCCGTCCTTGCCATTCCCCCCTCTTTCTTCCTCCACCCCTTCCTCTTCTGTTTCCTCCCTCCCTCATCCCCCCCCCCCGTCCTCAGTCTCCTCCTCCCCCTTTCTCCTCCTCCTCCTCCTCCTCCTCCTCCTCCTCCTCCTCCTCCTATGCTCTTCCTCCTCCTCATCTTCCTCCTCGTCCTCCACCATTTCCGCCTCGCCCCTCCTCCTCCTCCTCCTCCTCCTCCTCCTCTCCTCCTCTTCCTCCTCCTCCTCCTCATCCTCCATTTTCTCCCTCCTCCTCCTCTTTCTCGTCGTCCTCCTCCTCATCCTCCATCTCCTCCTCCTCCTCCTCCTCCCTCCTCCTCCTCCTCTCCTCCTCCTCCTCCTCCTCC